TATCAAAACGCTTTTGAAGAGAAGAGCACAAATTCAGCAGGCTTTTGTTGCTTGCAGATATATCATTAACCATTTGATCCAGTTTCATGATGTAATGTTTTTGGATTTCAAACTCCGCATTCATAAAATTTTGACTTTCTTTCACAGCTCTGAGGTCAGTGTCGATTTTGGAATTGTTAATAGGCGGGCACTCCAATTTTTCAACCAACTCATCACTTTGTTGGAACATTGCTTCCAGTTTTTCTGCCATTTGTTGTGCGTTGTTTGGAACAGATTCGTTGATTTGGGTTGATATTTTTCAGTCATGTTCGCTGATTGAGTCTTCTGATATATCTCTTATGCTATTTTCTACAATTGCTCTAATCTCAAGTTTCAGATTTTTTATAATTCTGGATTCCATTAGGTCCAGTTTCTTTTTCAATTCATCAAATTTTCCTCCCATTACGACTGTATTGGTCTATTTGAACCAAAATGAACTACTAAGTAACTTATTTTATATGAACCTCAATCAAACAGCAATACCGGTATTCCTATCAAGTCCATGCATCTGCATTTTAGAAAAAAAATCCGAGATTTTTTGTTCAAAATTTCTATCCTGGAATTTCAAATTCAGTCGCGAAGTCCCACTCTTAGTTTATTGTTCGTGATATGGATTCGAATAGTGTAAGATGCCGCAGTGGACTGATGTACATTGGCAAACGTATTCATAATAACAACATCGATGCCAAGACTGCTGGTCCTGTACCGTAATTTTAGATAAGATTTTATTTCGATTCATTCGCAAAAATAAACACATATACAAAAAAGATTAAAGAAGTTCAAAACGTAATAAACGCGTTCACTTACCAAAGAAGAAAGAAAACAAGTCACAAACACAATAGGCCGCGAGCCGAGGCCATTTATCTTTCAGTTTCGTAGCGCACATAAGGTAACTACCTGAAAATGATTTTAAAATGTTACTTAGAAATTTAGTAACAAATGTTGCCTTGTTCCCACTTCCAAAAGTTGCACGTTTTACAGAAAAGACGCTTTTACTACAATAAATATGTGTTACCATCTGTCCTATTTTCTCTGCTTTTCCGGTATCATGGGCCAATGAACGCAGACTTCTGCATGACGTAACAATCAAATTAGTCAGCTGTAGGTGGATCCCCAGTGGTCGGATGAATATCAGATGTACTACTACTACTGCTCGCTTTTCCGTTGAGTAGCCTTTCCATAGTTTTTTTCAGTTATTATTAGTTCAGTTATTCTAAGGAGGTGTTGAAAAGTATAAGTAAGATATTGAACACTTGTATCTCCTTACCATAAATAGCAATTTTAGTTGAGCACTAGCTCATAAGACGTTGTTAAATAGGCACGGTGCGGTAACTCCAAGGAAAGCTAGACCTAGAATCATGTCACAAGCAACGATATTTCCTGGCTTGCATGAAATGGTTATGACTTTTCTTGACTATTCAGCAGACTTATACTACTAAATAGGCCACAGCATATTTGGAAATAGAAATTAATGGCTGTTTCTGTAATGCACGGTTGTGTGAAAGAGAAGAGAATAATCAATTTTACTAATGTCGGTTGGTCTAAATCTAAATTCATAGAGTCGACAAGAACCTGGGAAGCAATGATAAGTTATGCCGGAGTGGAAAGAAAGTAGCATTGGAAACGATTGAGAGGTGAGAAATCAAGTTGTAGACAGACCGTTGATGTTTTAAAATATAGTCTATCTATAGTCCATACTCATACTGTCATAGGGCATTTCAGACTGTGATATATCAAAATTTAGTGTAGATATAGTCTAGTAATGGTATGCAAACACTGCTGGACTGTAGTACATGCAATGAGCATATACGCTCATTGAGTACATCAGATAAAATGCATTATGTATTCAAGGTATCAGTTAGTATTTAGTGGTATTTTTACACTCATGCTGTTCCAAATATGATTTTCTTCCCCATTTTAGATACTGTACTACAAAAGAAAACAGGAATGTTCCACCAATCCGACCTAACGCAGGCTCTAATCCCTGCTGCTATCAGTGCTATAAAATGGATTAAACAAGAAGTCTTGAAGCGTAAAGGTATATGAGAATCATAATAGTTGCAAACAGCTTAGATGGGCTATTCATATTGAAATACTCTAGCACTTTTCTGCAATTGGAACTGCCCATCAAACTCATGTTGGAGACTTCATCGAGGTTTTCAATTCATTTTTTTCTCAACTATGAAGATCTTTTGAGGTTAACGAGGCATTAATAAATAAAGCTGAGGAATTTGTTTGTTCACTGTATGAAGAGGATATAAAGAATGTAAATGATACCAGGGCACGTCTATTTAACACTGGCAAACATAAGGATTATACTCTTACACTCAACAATAATTCACTGTAGAAGCATGTGGCCCTCAAATCAGTTCTTGAGTTGGCAAACTGCAAGTGTAAGAAAAATAGTCAAAATAATTTATGCAAGTGTGCCAAAATCAACTTAAATTGCACAGATTTTTGTTTCTGTATTGACTGCAAAAATCACGGTACAGTTATAGAGGAAAAGTCGATTTTCGAGATAGTGGATTTCGAAAACAATTCAGAAGAAAGTGAATTATATATTGCAGTTGATTTAATAAGTATCAGTTATTTGTTTGTTTTTCGGACATTTGTTAGTGTCGTAGTCATGTTTCTAGAAATAATATTGCCTTTGTTCAAATACATAAACTAAAAAAAGACTAATTGTTATATTTCTGTTCACTATGTTATGTACATATTGTACATTCATTTAATTTTCTTGACTTTTCCGGTAAATTTCCAATTGAGAAATAACTGATTTTTTTGTGTTTTCGTGCTAACGATGTTAATTTGTGACTTCATTGCTTAAAAATAAATACGTTTGATAGCTTCTATAAAATGGATGTAGCTTTTTATGCTGTTCTTGTTGTAAACTGCTTGTGGTTATCACATAAAATTCATTCGCTAATGTGAATCAGCGTTGTTGGTGTCGCTGCTTTCGAGGTCACTCGCGACTCCTGTCACTCAATTAAAGTATTTTTTGTTGTTGGTTACATGTATGATATATTTTTCGTAATCTACCTAATAAATTATGATTGACTGAGGAAGTCCGATTTTGGTCAGGCAAAACATTTCAGGAATACATTTGTGTTAGTGTGCTGTAGGGCTCTCGAATTGCATAGTTCTTATGTATGTGTTGTAAACTTATGGTTATTGAATTTCCGGGAACCTCTCATATTCAATTTCGCATCAGGATTGTGGAACAAGCTGTAATGCGTTCAGTATGTTCATTTTCACACAAAACTGAAGAATTTATGTAGTTACCAGTTGTGCGCTACGAAACTCATTTTCTGGTCGTTTTCAAGGCTTCGTCTCACGGCCCATATCCGTGGTAAGGATCTACAAGTGTTTATTAACTTACTTATACATTTTTCAACAACGTCTTAGCATAACTTACCTAATAATAACTAAACAGGGCTATGGAAAGGCTGCCCAACTCAACGCAAGGTCGAGCAGTAATAACTAAAATTCATCCGCTCGCTAATAGCTGATTCGATTCAATTGTTACGTCATGCAGAAGTCATTGTTCATTGCCGAAATTGTAGAGAATATAGGACAGATCGTAGCACATATTTCTTGTAGTAAAAGCGTCTTTTCCGTAAAACGTGCAACTTTTGGAAGTGGGAAAAGGGCAATATTTGTTATTACATTTTTAAGGAACATTTTAAAATCATTTTCAGGTAGTTACCTGATGTGCGCTACGAAACTCACTTTCTAGGCGTTTTTCAGGGCCTCGGCTCGCGGCCTACAAACATGAATATTAACGGCGGTCATTACTCAGGCGTTTCACTTGGTAATCAGGTTGCGTGCAATTTTTTCAAAAACAAAACAGTGAATCAAATATCCACTGTGCGTGTGATGCGGCGTGTAAACAAACATACCGAAAAATCCTAGAATGAGGTGCGAATGCATGTTTCCGTTCCAGGCTCAAACATATATCTAGTAAAATTTACTAATCCTACCTTCTGGTGCTCACCCAAGTACAATAGTGAAATACGCATGACAATTCTTCACGTGGTTCTGTAGGCAATATGTCCTACAACTCTGTATTTTCAATTACAATGACCCGGTGTATGTAAAATCCTTTCATTGACCATCTTAATTGTCCATTCCAGTTTAGTAGGCGAAGCGAGGCTTTTAAAAAGTCGATGCTGTAATTTGGCGCCAAATTATTTTAAACGTCAGCTTAGCTCATCACGCTTTATTGATTTCCTAGTTTCTGTCTACAGTACTTTGTCGCTCGGTCGAATAAGTCGCTTCGAGTGTTTTGTGGTTGTAGTTTCCGGACTTCGGTCTGCACTAACTGCTGGTATTTCATTTTAACTATCATTCAAATGTACAATAGTGTCCAGAGTGTGTATACAACATTACGGACATCATCTTTAGATCATGTTAGATAATAAAGGTTTTTGCAATCTGGAGGGTCCTAGGCCTACTGGCTGACTGCTGGACTGGCGAGAGTAAACGCCTACCCTACAGGAGTGGTGACTCCTCTACGGCCCATGGGCCGGGGCCACGGCCCATCTAATTGGGCCACATGGGCCGTGGCCCATAGCTTGATGGGCCGCGGCCCAATCAGGAAAAATTCAATTATCTTAACAAATTTTCAATTTTTACCAAATTGTCAATATTCGAACCAAAAAAATATACTCCTGTAGTATGTGTACCAGGTTAGGGTTAGGACAAAAAAATTCAGATTTTTTACATTATAGTTCTATTATGAGTTCGGGGACTGTCTGTGTTAGCCAAGTGAATAGTTTCATTACACAACTTGATGGGCCGAGGCCCAATTCGATGGGCCGTGGCCCCGGCCCATGGGCCGCAGAGGAGTCACCACTCCCACTCCGCCTACCTACGGTGCCGGTACGCAGGTACGTACGGTACCGGTACCAGCTTACCGATCCCCCAGGATAAATATGTAAATCGTATCCTATTTTTAATAATACATCAATACAAATCACAGCCAGATACTAGACAGCATTGTGAGAGCTGGATTCTGGGGTTATACATTACGGTACCATACTGAATCTGTGCAAATTCTGAAATCAGGTAGACTAATTGTGAATTTCGAGTATCAATATGAAAATTGAAGACAAACTATCAGAAACATTCGATAAAAGTCAACATGGACATCAAAATCAAGCTAAACTCGCAGAAGGATTGAAAACATTTTATTCTAAGGTCAGAAGGTATCTTAACTTTTCAACATTACTGCATTAAGTACCGGTACCACATTACAGCATTAACTTTATTATGCATTTCAGCATTTGGTGAAGTTAAATATCTCTGTATTTCTTTGGATTCAACCCAAATGACAGATAAAAATATGTGCCCATAATGGCTAAAAAACCTTCAATAATAGGTTTTAGGAAATGAGAAGTTGTATTACTGTATAATTATGCACAGATATAGATATGACCTCGATGATAAGATGGTGGATGCTTCCATTGTAATTCAAATCTTAACTATTGGCAACCCTTATTTATTCAAAATTGTTAGTATTGATCATTATATTAACAATATTTAATAGGCCTACAATATTTATAAAACTATAATTTACTGTTTAATAATTTTTCAGCTGAAAGATAATGACAAGCAAACTTTCCGAGATGAGTTTATTCAACATTTGAAGCCATGTTTGGTTGTGTTTACGAGAGAACCTGCTGTGGAACGAGTGATGGAATTTGTTGCACGGTTCGATATCCCTATTTGAAACATTGGTGGCTCATAACTCTAACTAGGATAACGGTCCACGATATTAATATTCTGAGAATATTTCGAAGGGTTGATCATGTTTTGGGGTTATTTCAAATTTAGTTGAAGTGGAAATTTCCACAAATTTATAAAGTTTTCTTTAGGTGCAGTCACTCCCTTTGTACCCTAAATATATTTGGAGATTTCTGAATGAAAATTACTTTACGCGTCAGACATCACAATATTCAACGAAGGGGGTTCAATATACAGTCCTCAAATGCCATTTGAATATATCCTATCCAAGACAAGATAATTGCTTGGCCAGCTTGCATAGCGTCCTTCATTTTCTTACTTTTCAGAATGAATTATATGTTTCCATTCAATCTAATGAGGTGTCCCACGCGATAGCCAATAGCCACCTAAAGAAAACTGGTTTTTTACTGAAGTTATGAAAAGTTTTGACTGTCTGTGATGAACCCTCAAAATAATAACTATTCAAATATATTACAATATTTAATTTGCTTTGTCCACATGTACCTCTATGACACACATGAATGTCATTGCAAAAAAACAAACTATTCACTGTGCCATATGATTTTGTTTACCACCACAGATTTGCAGCATGTTTTGCACAAACAAGTGATGAGGATGAAATTGAACCAGAGGTTGATGCTGATAACTTCTATCATTTCTTATTCGGTTTTTTACTCAAGGTGAGTTGAAACATTCCACTGTCATTATGACGATGAGTTTTTTAAAATACTTTGATGCTACTTGCCTTGAATACTTTGATTCTACAAGTTGTCCATATTTAAGGATGCGTTTATATGGAAATGACTTAAGCTAAACATATTTTCATTTAAAATTATTGAATTGGTTTTTATAAATTTTATATTTTTTTGAGGTAAAACATCTATATGCACGAAAAAGCTTAAATCAGGCTTCATGTTAAATTTTGCTAGTAAAAATTATTATATCATCAAAAACTATAGTTTGTTTGCTATTTGTTGAAATTGAAACTTCAAAAATTGAATTAATCTGAAGAAATTAAGATATGAAAAATTTGTAAAAGATGCTTAATCTTCTATATATATATATATAATATGTCTATGTCTATCTTTTTCTAGAACCATGTTGCGCAAGGAAAAGCAGTTAGATTTCGTATCTGTCAGCTTGTCAAGCTGTTATTGCATGTTGTACCAAGGGATGCAGCTTTGGATGAAGACTTGGTAGAAAGGTATGGAATTGCATAATGGGGCAGAAGTCCTAGTTTGAAAAAAACCTTATTTAGAAGAACATTTTCCTTGAAGATATATGGTAATCTGTACAACCAGTGTGGCAGAAACTATGTAAGTTTTATGTAGGTTAATGTCCCTGAGACATTGCTCATTGCCCTTGATGCGTATATCGGCCTACAATAAAGTTTGGTTTCTTCTATCACAGAATATCTGATTGTATGTTGACAAGGATGTACGACATTATTCCATCCGTCAGAGCACAAGCAGTTCGAGCTCTCACCAGACTTCAACAACCTACTGAAAGTGACTGCCCGATTATTCAACGTAAGTCAACCTTTTTATTATACTGATATCTTTTTTGAAAGGTTTTACTAGAAAAACAATAGAATGCTTAGTTGATGTAAATCATTTCCATATAAAAATATGCTGCAATATGCATGATAAATTAATAAGTAATCTTCTTTGCGTTTAATTATAAAAAATCTGAAGCCAATATAAATATAGCCATCTATTCTAGTATTCTATTTCAGAGTTGTTTACAAATATTGAACTTGTTTAACTATGTGAAGTAAATTATGACAGAATCCTTTTGATAGAATTTTTGACAGCATCCATGTTCAATTATTTATTGAACAATCAAAAGTAGATATGATATAGGAGGATAAACAGGAATATCATGGAAACAAAGATCATTAGTTTAAGACAATAGACAACAGACAATATAACTTACATTTCTAGGTTATTTGTTCCTGCTTCGATGTGATGAAAGTGCAGAAGTTCGAAGTGCAGTTTTATCTTGTATTACACTCAGTACTCGAACCTTACCAGAAGTAATGAAAAGAGTGAGAGATGTGAAAGAAAGTGTTCGAAAATTGGCATATCAGGTCATTAGGCTATATATATTTTATTTCTGCCTATCAATGATCATAATGGTATAAAGATAATTTTAGGAATTAAGAATTGCTTGTGTTCGATCGAATGTGGGAAGGTTGCTTTGGACTTCCTTGTCTTTATAGACTGGGGCACTTTACTGTTCACTTGTTCATTTAGCCGAGTCTGCAAGCCTGGAAAATTGATCTTGTTAGCCATCCTACTCCACCTGAACCAAGGCCGATAAATAGAGGAAAAGATTGTGATATATCTACATCTTATTAATTTTTATCTCAACTCTAAAATATCTTATTTATAAAACTCTTGTAGATAATGAATCTAAGAAGTCTCATATTATGATGACTCTCTATTTAAAAGAACTTGCTTTATATTAATCAAGTTTGGTTTGAAATAAAAGTTAAAAAATTTTGTATACAGGTTATGTCACAAAAAGTTAGTATTCGAGCTCTTACCTGCTCTCGCAGATTGCATCTTATTGAACAAGGACTACTAGATCATTCAGAAAGTGTTAAGAACGTTGTCAAAACACAATTGTTACAAGCATGGCTTCGAACTTATGAGGTAAATTCCAGTATTCATCAGTACTCAATCAAATGATATATAAACAAAACAGCCTTGCAGGTGAAAGATCTCGGTTTCAAGCTGTCTCCTAGGCTTTAGTACAAATAGTCAAAACTATGGCACGCATGGGGGGGAGGGGGCTTGTACAAGCGCCGAAATTCATTGTCTTCTCTACAGACTTCTACTGATGTTAACTTCTGTTAGCACAATCAGTATAATTAGTTGTGATATGGATAATAAAATTAAAAATGCTATTATTCCTTTCCTACAATTTTTTTTCCTCAAATTTGTACCTTATCTATTTACTTTTTCATTTTTGTCAGGGCAACATCTTGGAAGTTTTAGAAAAACTTGACGCTATTGGATCTTATAAAACTACTTGCAAAGCAGTCCAGGCTTTATTTGAATATTCTCAAATTGCTGATCTAGTTTCAGGATTCACTATTCTAAATGAGAAGTATGTTATTATTTTTATTGAAGATTATGTTGTATTTTTTAATAGTATAAATTGAAATTTAATAGCATGCTTTTGGGCTTCATTGACTAATTAATTGTAACATTACTTTTTTCTTTTTGGGTTGCCTAGATGTCCAGTTTAAGATAAAATATGTTTTGGGTACAAAAACATGATCCAATAGTATTACAAGAATGGAAATTACTACAGCAGTTTATCCTTGAGAAGAGGGCAGACAATATGGTTTAATAATTTGACGAACTCGCTTGTTTATTCTTTGAGTTTGATTGTTTAGCATACGTGATCACAGCTGGAGGGAGATCTCAGCTGAGCATTTTCAGATATGGTGACTTCCAAGATTGTTCTCATATCATTATTGTCTATTTACACTGGACTTTTTATGTGTTTGGATTAAATACATTAGAATATTTCACAGACTGTATTGACGTATACAAAAAATTTTATTATTATTTCAGTAATCTTATCAGCTTTGATATTCTCACTCCTGAGTCAGCATTGTACTGGTGTGAGCTTTGTCAATTCTTGAGATCGAAAGGAGTCGACTGTGAAGAACATCTTGAAAAATTACTTCCATCACTCACTGAATTTTGTGAATATTTGGAGCTTTATGTTAAAAAGTTAGTATGAGTGACTGTATGTTGAATATCATCATGGAAAAATTTATCTCTTATATAAATATTTTTAGTTTCAACTATGTTATTATGGATAGTTTATCTCATCACTGAACAAGTGAGGATGATAAATTCACCACCGAATTGTCTCTTTGATAGATTTAAACCCATTGTAAAATTATGATCACATTGATCATTTTTCGACTATTCACACTTAAATGTATTAGCTAGTGACCATTCAGTTCTATTCATGCCACACCTCTATTAATTACTATTAATAAACTCGCAAATAGGCTTCACTTGTTATCGAGCCATTAACCTTAAAAAAATATTTCAGATTTCTGAGAGTTAACGAAGAGGAAAATTCTCAAGAAGCTGAGGCTGAAGCAGAAGAAAAAGAATTTATAGCTGAACAACTCATTAAACTTGCATCTGGTTTTGATCTGTCTGACGATGCAGGTTTGTTCTAGCGAAACCTTCTCTCAGCGTCTTTTCTGGTCAATTTTCGAACAATTTTGCTCATCAGCAAATAGGCCTTAAAACTTTACTCATGGCTCTTTAAAAGCTTATGCTTGTGTTCTATTTAACGGAATGATAAAAGAGAGCCATTACTAGTCGATGAATGTTTATTTTTAGGTCGCAGAGTCTTGAATGAGACAGTCCGAAGACTCACTCTGAGTGTTGATGTAACTCACTTTTCTATGATTGTGCCAGCTCTTGCTAGAATATTAAATTGTCTGCACGATTCTGATCATGAAGCAGATAGAGTTGAAATGGCTGCTGAAATGATACAAGATGCTCGCGAAAAAAATGATCCTGTGCCGTCACAAACTGTTGTGACACTAAGCGAGGATGAAATTCGCTCAAAACAAATTCAAGTAAGTGATGGCCTGCCTAAACACAGATGTCAGTCACCCGGGGTTTTATAAATTGGATTGCCGATGCTAAATTGGAAGGATTCCGACTTCCAATTAATAGTTGCTCCGCACATATCGTCAGATATCAGTTGCCTCTTCTTGTTCAGAGCAAACGGGGCGAAAAAGGCATCATAAGAAAAAACTTATGGAGGATATTTTCTCCTATATTTTTGTTGGATTCTAGAATTCTGTGCATTTTGCACATTGCTATGTTATTCAATTTTTTCTGAGGATGTCTTGAGTTTCGTAAAGTTTGTTGGCTCTGTTTGAAATTTCCTCAAAGAATAAAAATCTGTTTCAATTAATATCATGTATACACAGTATTTTTCTGTGTTATCTAGTTTGCCACTTTTGTCTTTTTTCCCTATTTCTGTATCCTGTGCTCACCCTTACATGTTTAAATTTGTCTGTTTTCTTATTCAAATATTTTTTATTGTCCTACCTACATTTGTTTATTCATTCACCTTATTGCCTTCGGTAAATTCTAGCTTGCTCGAATTCGAGTGAAAATGATCGAGTTGAGTGAGGTTTTAGAAGAGGAGATAAGTGCAAAGAAATTTGTTGAAGCTGCAGCAGTACAAAAAGAACTGGATGGTCTGAAAGTTGATAAAGCAGAAATAGAGAAAAGTATGGAACCACAAACTGTTGAAATTGATGGAATGGGAGAAGATTTTCCACCCGACCTGAAGGTTTGTGTTGATCCAGACTTCGTCTTGTGCAGGGATGGGTGGCATGTGAATTACGCAATTGAGAAAGTTGTGAAAATTTCTCATTACATACAAAAAATTTTGTTTGTGAAGTTTATTCGAAGTATCTAAACTATGAATTGGTAAAATAATTTTAATGTTTTTTCATCTCTGGTGCAATACTAGATTAAATTTGGTGCAATACTAGATCAGCTGCGATTAAATTTGACACTATCATAGTGAATGGGAATAGTAACTATTGAGAATAGATACTTTTGTCATTTCTTTAAAAATCCTTAATTTGAGATCTTTTTCATAATAAATTTGAACTAAAGGTAACTATTATAATCATATTTAAAAAATTAAGTACTTTTGTTGATGCAGTCTTTGCAAAAAACTTTGCCCCAATGCTGGTCTTGTGTGATCATTAGGAAAATCCGAATCCATACAGCTATTGGAATACATTTGTAATGAAATATTAGAATAGATAACCTAAATTCTTTGTTATTTAATAATACATATGGCAAGGGTTGGGAAACTTTCTTGTGTGATTCCATAAACATCCAATTTACCGAAAGAATCTGAAAGAGAAATAGTTAAACTGGAGGCTTGTCTACCCTGATGATCCATTTTGCTTCTTGATTAATCATTATCTTTTTCGCTTCTCTACAGTAAAAAGGATTTAATTTTTATTCTAGAATGATCCTGCAACAATATTGAAATGCTTACAAATCACAAAAGAAGTTTGTTCATCGATATCTTTCTTTGATTCTGCCACAAAGCCAAATGGAAAAGTAAAAAGAAGATTGAAATCTCTTCATCCTACTCTTCTTGAGCTTGTCAATACACTCGTTTTACCTTCGATTGCAAACCCCCATCCAGCAATTCGTGAAGTTGCTGTTGAATGTCTGGGAAATTGTTGTCTTTATTCATTTGATTTGTCTGCTCAACATCTTCCGTTGTTTTTACAGGTGACTACTATTTTATACATTGTTTAAATTTGTCCGTTAGTACAGAACCATTTATGATACATCATACATTCATTCCTCCTTTCACTTATTATGAAACTCTCTTATTTCTTAAAATCTGCTTCTGTTTGTTGTGAAATATTTATTGGATCATTAGCATTATGGGATCAATGCGCAAAATCACTTTTGTTTATTTTAAATTTAATGTGTACATAAATATGTATTACAATAATACTAAATCTTTTTATTCTCATAAAAAATTATTATTTGTTCAAACCTTCAATGGAGATTGCTATTGCTACGCTCAATTGGCAATCTGGCTTTTGTACAATTTGAATAAATTATAATGTGTCTATGAATATGTATCACAAAATTACTAAATGAATGAATAAGTAATACATAGTTAAAGTACACCAAATGCAAAGTAATATTTTCTTCCCAAAAAAAACAACAAATTTTGTCTCTGCTTGGGAAACGCTGTAAGCAATCCTGGCAATGCTTCAACCCCCTAGGTCAAATTTATTTGCTTTTCTAGATTATACAAGCTGATGTTGTTGAGGTTCGAATCAAAGCATTGGGTGGTATTGTTGATGTATTAAGAATCTATGGTGTGGAAGCATTCGCTCCTAATAAAGACAAGAAAAAGGAAAGCGATGTAAGTTTGATGTTTCAAAAAGATTTTTATCTTTTTTCTATGGTTGAATCATTCGTATTAGTATCGCATCAAGCTCAAATTCATTCATATTTTTAGTTTAGAACAATTGTGTGAATTTGAGGTTGTTTTTGTACACTGTTGACTGCTGCTATTGGCAAGTATTTAGTTTAAAACCCTTTTTTATCTCTGCACTGAGGGCGTAATAAGTAGTGGTGGGCTATGCTAAACCATGATTATTCTATTTTTTATAAACCTAGCATATCATTTCCTATGGCAGGATACTCAAATACCCTTGATCTAATCAATCGAACGTAAAAAATTGATAAAAAGTTCTTTTTATGGGTAACATTGTGATTTATTACTTAGCAGAAGAGTTTTAAAATATGTGAAGAAATTCGTTTTCAATAATTTCAAGTCTAAGCTTTCCTAAACCAGTCGTTTCTCCAACTGTCATGATCCGTAACCCCCTTCGGAAGACCTAACGCTTTTGGCGCCCTGTCTTCTATAAAAAAAAACTAATTTTGCATTCAATAAACATGTTCTGATCAGTTATTTTATGCGCCACTTTCAATAATAAATAGTCAACAAATCAAAAGGTATTTGTATTACAGCAAAAAAGCGAACAACTCAATGTCGTTTAGTTGCAATTCATATAGTCATTGTGAATGATACCTAGTGGTGGCTTTTGGTTATGGCCTCCTGAGAACCACTCTGCTTTGCCTAATTTAAAAAACCCTGTCATGAGCCTATCGTATTTGTTTCCATCTCAGCCACTCGCTAATGAGGAAGAGGATAAAGAAAGTGATGATGTTGAAGATGATGAGAATAATTATATCACTACTTTGATTTTAACTAAAATTGTTGAAATGTTGGATGAAGACGTAAGACTTATTATTTGCTTCGGAAATACTGTATGTCTTATGTGATGTATAGTATATATGCAAAAACTTTTTAGAACTCTCCGGTCTGTCTGATGGAGAGAAATATGATAAGATTGCATACTTATATCATTATATGGAGAAACCATGGCCTCTTATCTCGTTAGTAGTTTTTCCAGGTTTATGGACTTGATGGGGGAGACGTGAATCACCCCATGACAGGGTGGTCCAAGGTTGTCCGCTTCGCGGGCCACAAAATTATTCTTGCATTGTTCGCGGGCCACAATAGTGCTAAGAATAGGTAAACAGTGCAATACAAAACAAACACTTATATTGAGCAAACACATAGTTATCAGACATAGCCATCCCAAGCTAATAGAATCCGCATTCGATTTTTAGTATCTATGATACCTATATTGTTAGCATATATTCCTGACCAAATAGATAAAAAGCCAGATAATAATTTAGACTGCTAAGCAAATCATTCAACTTTGATAGTTGCTTCAGCTAGCCATAACACTATAGTCAATTCAGTGACATTATTGATGTAACAATATGTCGAAAGATTTTTCTGATTAATTTTATCACGAAACAACACGAAATGCGATTTTTTGATTACTCTCCGAATGTGACGTGGGCCACAGATAATAAAGCGGCGGGCCACATGTGGCGCGTGGGTTTGGGTTGGACCACCCTGCAACCTGTTTCCACATAATTATCCCGAACAGGATTTGAAACTGTCGATCTATGCTGGGGAAGTTGTGCGATTCCCTTCAGTGCCTTATGATAAAATTGTGGAAAAAAATTTCAGCTTCGCTATAAATTGAATTATTGATATAGAAATCATTGGTTCAGTTACTAAATGAATTCGTATAAACTTCTGAATTTTTTTCAGCATGCTGATATCCGACACGCTGCTGCTTCTGGTCTAGCCATGATACTTGTATCTGGTAGAATTGTCAGTCCTGCTATATTTTCACGACTTGTTTTACTTTGGTATAATCCAACAACTCAAGATGAATTCAGCACATTGAATAAAATCAGCTGCTTCCTTGATTTTTATCCTTACATGTGCAAGTAAGTGCTGCATGATAATAAATATAACATTTTGTGACAATTTTAGGTGAGATGCAAAAAAAATTTATCAACTAAGTTTTAATACCAAGAGTAAACAGCTTGATATCAAATTTCATAAGCTGAGATTTTCTAAAATTACCATACCTTCAGTTCAGTGTAGAAAAAAATTAATTTTTACCTTTGAGAGCTTATCATTCATTGGTTTTCTATAAATTGTAATTGAAAATGTCTTGTCTATCGGTATTTACTGACTCGTAATTCGCCGCAGTGGTTGTCTGTAACTTCAGTCAGATATCATATCCTTCGCTTTTGATGAGTCCACATGACCTTGTTTTAATCGAATTTTTTCATAAAATCATTATATTAGTAGTAACTATAGAGTCCTTCCAGTTGGGGGTAGAACGTCGCGTTTGACAAATAGTTTTGAATGGACTTTCTGGGAAACTTATGTGAATTCTAAATTTGAAAATTACAGCTCAAAGATGATATTTTCAAACCTAAAAATTTATTTAAATTAATAGCTAAGTTCTGTTCGAAAATATTTTCCTGTATATTAAGACTATCGTTGTTTTTTTTGCAAAATTAATACTTCATCAATTTCAGAGCAACACACAACTGTCTTGAAGAAGCATTCCTTCCAACACTTCGGACTCTATTTGAGGCTCCAAACTCATCTCCACTTGCATCAGTTAATATACAGAATGTTGCAGAATTACTTGTTCATCTGACAAAACCATCATTGATAAAAAGTCTTCATCGTGATAAAGACAATGAAGGAAATGGAACAAAATGGAGAGAACAAGTTGATTGGGTCAGTTTGTACGAGAGAATCTGAAACCTGATAAAACATAGGCGGCCTCTTGGGTAAAGCGTTAGCATCGCAGGTTGACATGCCCACCATCTGTGATAAATTTTGTAGGCAAAGCTGAATAAAGATTCTGGTCTTTCCAAACTATTGTAGCTTACCTTGCTTTGAGTGCTTCTGCAGTGTATTGATCAAAGCGAAAGGTATAATAAAGTTTCGTGTCAAATCAGAAACAGGCGTCACGGTCAGCAGATTAAAAATCATGTTCCTATGACAAATATAACAAACTTTTAGATGAAATATCAGATCTCATACGATTTATAGAAAATTTAGGAATAAATAAAAGCAATAGCCTTCTTTTTAACCACCGAAAATTTCAAAGCAATCGGTCCATTAGTGGATGAAATCAAATTGACTCCTCAGAATTGAAAACAGGCAATTGAATTAAGCTTGCATATGCTTTTGTGATCATTGCTCTAATTTTTGTTTTCTCCGAAATTGAATTTATTTTATAATAGTTGTTGGCCCAGGACTTAACTTCCCAAAGTCTGAATGCACACTTTTATAGGCGATAAACTTAATTCCAAACTATCCATTTCTCAAAAGAGCATTAATTTTACTGAGTCTTTGTAACAGTTTATTATAGGAGGCTCACATGCACCTAAGTTTTCATTATCAAGAGTTGATTTTATTAGATCTGTAGTCAAAACCAACATTTATTCGACTGTAGTCTGAGGGTGAGCAGTCATGTTTTTCAATAAGACTATTTTCATATGCAATTTGCGAAACTTTAATACTTATTAAATCATTTGTTGTGCCCATTTTCAGCTTGGTGATCGTTCAGCACACGATGGATTGGCAATAAAGTTGAGCAATGAGATTCTGAGAGATCCACAATCAGTAAATGTTGTGGTTTTATCTCGCAGTTTATCTATGTTGGAATTGTCATCAAACCTGCAGGACAATCTTAAATATCTCACAGTTTTGTGTGAAGATATGTTGGAAGTGGGTATTTAGGAAAATAAATGGATTTTAAGTGATATTGAGTCTGCTGGATAGAGCAACAATATCACTCAACCCTGTGCTAAATATTGTTTATTGGACCGTTTAATTAAATTCTCGTTTCTTGGAAAAAAAAAACTATTGGACCAATTGTTTCAAATTCCATTTATGTGTAGATGGAAGAAGTCGCTACAAGGCTGTTCCTAGTTTTTTTCTGATTTTGCACAAAATTCTGCCGTTTTTAAATTTAACTTTTGTCATTCGTTCCGCTGATCTTTTCAGCGAACTCTATGATCTCAACTCAATTCTTACTGATGAGTGATGTACAATCTCCACCAGGGATGGCCAATACCGAATAGTTCACTATTTCGAATACATTCGAAATTATTTTTTTTCGAATATGAAATTTCGAATACTTCGAAAATAAAATCCACAAATTGAAGCTTATCTAAATGTATGTAGGAATTTCCATATAATAAGCAATGGAATAACTGCTATCTACAAGTTACAACCTAGCTATATTACCAGGCATTTCATATTTGCAGATTATTGCAGTATATATTTTATATACCACGAGTCATGTTAACAGAATTAAATTAATACGGCAATAGTGGTATCGATGATGGATTTGAATATTTGCGTAACACAAAATCATCCTAGTAAAACGCTCATACTTTTAAATACCAACCATCATCCAAATTATTTGAGTTATTTTTCCGACTTGTGACAACTTTTTCGTGAGTACAAAAATGCGAATAGAAAATTAATCATTTTCGGGAACTTTACCACACATTATAAGTCTGCAGATCGCCGTTGTATGTTTGAGTAATAATACGTTAATTTAGTTCTATTATCATAACTGAAATGTTTTGTAAATCGGGCAGTTTACCACACATTTTAAGGCCACAGATCGCCGTTGCATTTTAGAATTGTGATAGTTTTATTATTTTGTAAATGCGAATCCGAAATTAATTACAATTGGGCAGTTTACCACGTATTTCATGTCCACAAATACCCGTGGTATTTGGTATTAATACTTCCATTATTTTATCAATATAAAAATGGGAATCAATATTTAATAATATCGGTCAGTTTACCACACATTTTATGTCCACAGATTGTCGATACAACCATGAGTTACATTGAACAGAATTTAATTAATACGGCATGACATTTTAAATGCTGGTACCAGTCATTGATTGGATTATTTATTGCAAAAAATCATCCTGGTAAAGGATCGATACTTTTAACTATCGTTATCAGAATTATTTGCCAGAAATTATTTTCTAATAAATCGACTTGTTTTCCAACTTGTGACAATTTATTGGATATCGTAACAATGACGGCTATAAATACCGTATTTCCCGGCTAATAAGTCCACATGGCAAATAGGACGATGTCTATTTTTAGCACCCAAAAAGGGGTTTTTCCATACAGGCCCCCAATAAGACGGGTAGAAAAATTGTGTCCCTGTTGTTCAGTTATGCTGATATGCGCTAATGATTTTATATGTTTAGAACCAGATCATGTTAGTTTGGTAGAATCATATTACCAAATTAACTATTTTTAACAATTGAGTGGTAAATTTAAGTTGTAAAACGGCAATCATTTTGGACAACCTATTAACCCGAATGTTGAAATAATTTTGGAATGTGATAAGTAATACACTGTACGTCCACGGGTTATTTCACAGCTGTGTTTTCCTGTCCCTGTCGTGTTCTGCTGAATCGGCAAAACGAAAAGGGTCACAAATCACTTTATCTCGGTGGCCGTGTTTCTCTTTATTAAAGTAACGATAACCGGTCTGCGATTAAATATCATGATTCGCAGACCCTAAGACCCAAATATAAGGTTAAACAAATCATGCTTGAGAAGACTCATGCGAATAAAAACAGGCAGCATAGAACTACATACTTTCTCAATTAGACGCCCCCCTAGAAAAGCGACTTATTGCCCGGAAATACGGTAATTGTCAATTTTTTGACGTAATGGAAATGAATTTGTAAATTTAAAAAGGCCTTTAGAAGATAAATGTCGGCAATGTCCACCCACGCAAACGTGCAAATGTGTCGCAACACTATGCGACGTACGGTCGCACAGAATATAAACAATCAAAGTGCCGATTCTATTTCATCGGTATTACAATACGTGAAACAGCGTAAAAAGTCGTTTGAAGATTCCCATAAAACAAAACACCACGTTTACGGCGAAAAGTGGCTACTATTCGGAATTATTCGAAAAAGAGCAGAAAAGGTATTCGAATACTTTGATATTCGAATACATTCGAATATTCGATTCGTTTTGGACAACCCTGATCTCCACGTCCATATATTTCAGCATTGCTTTCTTGTTAGTGTGCGCAAATTGGTTGTTTTCAGTCGTAAACTAGTTTTTGTGATAGTGACATCGAAAACGGATTATGTTTTGCAGCTAACAACGATAGTATTTGGTTCACAAAGCATATCGAGCTCGCACATACACATTTACTTTTAAAACTTACTGATATGTCATGATAACTTGCCATGTAATATTTCGTTCAGGTTGTGAAAAACAAACAATCTTGGAGATATTTGAAGAAGTTCCAATCACAAGTTTTATCACTCATACTTGTGAGGCCATCGAGCAAACAACAGGAAAATATGAGCTGTGAAGAGGAGACCATGAACGATGAGAATACTCAACATTCTGAGGAAGCTAGTGAAGACAACAGCCAGGGTGCGGAAAGCGGAGATTCTGTATTTATTTAATGTATTATTACTGGGATAAATAACTGAAAAAATCCTTAAGCACTGAGTCTTGTTTCTTTGCATAACAGAAAAATATATTGTGAAACCTTGTTATTATTACAAGTATAAACCTATTCAACTCATGGGTAAGGATTTCAGCGAGGCCATGTATTTATTCTTTTATTATTACGTCTTCTGCTCTGAACAAGGCCACCAATATCCACTGGTATGTCAGGACCCGCCTTCCTATGATAATATTCATACATGTTGAGTGAGGGAGGGTCCAGGAATGTGCGCACTTTTCCTTCGGTTTGGCGACAAAATACTCAATCCTCTTATCTGTCGCATTATCTACCCAGGACGAGTCAGCCCACCAGTTATACAGCCCTTTGCACGAAAACATCATTGACAACAAGTAAAATAACATTTATTATTATATCACTCTCTACAGAAAAAACCTTGGTGCTCGATGAAAACGATACAACATTCCATATACAAAGAAAGAGACTGAAGAACAACAATCAGCCTCCAACATCAGCTTTCACAAATGCTTGATTGTTATTCAGTTCGAGCACTGATACAGCTTGGCGAGTACCTGCGAGATTTTGGTCATCTCATCATCCAATATTCTGAGCAGCAATCATAAGCTTTCCTTTCCTCTTTTTTTCATCAGTCTTCATCTTGTCCATAACCTTCTGCATCCTTCACTTTCTCCAGTTTTTTAATTAGTTCTGTTCGAAAATTATTATTAGTTTGAGGTGCAAGATTTCATAACAGCCCATATATTTTACTGTTGCTGTTAACATAAATTGTTTTCATACACAAACATGTACATAGTTGGCCATTTTTAGGCTTGTTCTGATATGCTACTGCCATGTGATTTTTTATAATGTAATAGTCACTTCTTGTGGAAAATAATAAATTGTTCATGTTTTATGATGGTTGGAAAATTGGTGGTACGTGTGGTCATGTGCAGATTGGGGCATCAGTTTGGTTGTTTTAGGTAAGGATTATATGTCGGTAATCGTGAAGGACATTGAAGATGAAAATTGATTTAGGTAACGATTAACAGAACAACTTGTTCTTGGACTGTTCAATAAATTAGTGCGATTTTCTATCTTACTTTTGGAAGAACTACACATGTCCATTGATATAGATACAAAATATGAATATTCCCCAATCCCCACCAAAACTTCATATTTGATATGCGCATATGAATACAAGATATGTCAGAATACCTTTAGCTGGGTTGAAAACTCCGCTTGTCTGAGTTCCGCAAACAAAACATCGTTTTGATTTCTTATAATGATCCAGAGCACATTTCTCACAATAATAATGTTTGCACCTGTAAATTTATAACAACAAAATTGGCATCGTCATTTTCCTCCTGATCACAATATTAAAAAATTAGTAGTTTTTAAAATTTCATGACCCACGGCGTGGTGGGCTTCAAAATTTTTGTAAGCCGGTTCCTTCCCAAAAGTCATATTTTCCAGCCGGTTCTTTTATAAACAGAACATTGACAGTAACCAGTAATGCTAACCGGTTCGCTGATCTCATAAAATTCCGTGAGAAGGTTCTATAGAACCGGCCGACTCCCACCACTACCCACGGCCACTTTCCAAAGACTCATCATTTGCATGTCCCAGCTATTCTATAAACATACCTAGTTTTGCTTTTCAACACAGCTATATCACAAATGGAACAGGGTAAAAGTCTTTGCTCTAAGCTGATTGCCTTGAGTGATACCCCGGGCAGGGGTGGGCAAGGTTTTTTGACCTTGGGCCAAAAATTTGCCACTCAGATTGGCAGGCCATGTAAGTGTGACGTCAGAAAAGTTACATTTTATGAACAGTATTTACAGTGATACAAACGAAAAGGTTGAAAATAATAAGCCTCGTGCCAAAACTAAATATAATCGCAATCTCAACAAATTCCTTCCTTCTAAAAACATCAACATTAGTTTAGTTGTAGCAGCATCAGCGGGCAAGATTGAATTTCCCAATGGACCTGATTTGGCCAGCAGGCCGTAGTTTGCTCATGTCAGGTCTAGCAGCTTATGTAACTGAAGAAAAGAGCGTAGACAGACCTACATCAGTATTGCTTTTAACAGTACTAGAATCATAGGCCCCAAATCATCATTGCCAACCCATAAATGAGTGGATGAAAATAAATTGGTAATGCTTTCCAACTTACTTGGTAACGATTGGGTCTTTGAAAGTATTCCGACAAATTAGACATTTGAATGGTAAATCTTCATCATCGCTTGATACTTCCCAATTTTCATCATCGTTTCCACCATAATGTCCCTCAGCCATCTCTCTTTCTAGCTGCCAGCCATGCTTGTAATCACTTCGATCATGGAGGAATTTACAAGAATCTGAAAAAAGGAAATTGTTCCTAAATTTTGATACTGATTTGTTGAACTGAAAATTAGCTTTAAACATTCTTATTTAAACAACAATTCTATTTCAGTAAGGTGAGTGCTCGAAATAAGTCATGAGACCTGAGGTTTAAGAAATGCTAAACTGAAAAGATATCTGTTTTTGCCTATTGTTATGGTTGTACATGATTTGTTATTAGCAAAAAGCGTTTCGTATACCACCATCGGTGTTGCGATCAGAAATGAATCATTACTTGATCCTTACCTCCAAATCCACAAAACCCGGTTTCTTTGTAATCTTTACAAATATCTGGTTGATAATCCCATCTGACTGTTGCTCTTAAATGTTCTGGAGCACGAATTGGACCTTTTCTAACATTTCCTGATGCTGCGTTACCAGCTGCAGTGTCCTACAAAGACAAGTCAGAGATAAAAAAATATACGAGAACAAGTTCATATTCATTGAATATACCCTTATTCATTCAAAAATCAGTCTACATATGGAAAACTGAAAATGGCATAAAAAAACAATTTTAACATTAGCTCCTATTGGAAATGAGGAGCATATATTCACATTTTTTCCTTTATCATGAAAGTGGCATTATTATTAATAGGAAATTTTTTTTGGTTCTCATCAATATTCGAATACGTTCTGATTGGATCTCTCGGACAAGACTAGACCACAACATTATGCCAACGACTTATCGCCTGTGAAAGTTGTGCATCAACTGTGGGTTTCAAATGATTAGATCAATTCGCAGTCTTTCTGAGATTATGTCGAACCTTAAAATGCAGTTTATCTGAATAATCGAGATTTTCAAATTGTGAATAGCTCTAAATACAGAAATTTTAATTATATGGAAACTCGTTTCAAATCACCATAGATTTCAATTTACATTTAAACTGAGTTTCCAGGCATACTAGTTGTCCCTCAGCCTGACTACATAAGGCATGATTCTATTGTAGTGACAAAAGAAAGCTTGTATATGTATTATATTAGAAATAATGAAATAGATACAAGCATTGTCAATTCATACCTTTGGCTTGATAAATTGCCTATATCCAGCTTGCCCTCTGTATAAATTCTCAGATGCCTCACCAGAGTCAATTTTGTCTTGAATTTCAAGTCCACGTTCAAATATGGCTTGTGCATCTCTGTCTTTTTCTGTGTCTAGTTCATAAGTCCTTGTTGCTCCCATATCATCAGGTCCTGATGGTTTCTAAGTGAAAAATCAAAAAAAAAATGACTGAATCATAAGCTTCTTACAAAGGAATTGTCATTCTAGCAAAAGAGTGTACTTGATTAAATATCCTGATACGGCAGCGGTGCATAGTGCTAAGAAATAAGTACGTACTCGTCATCGCACCTCTGATTACACTGCAGATTTGAATGAATCCTGTGGGAGACGACTATGTGTGAGAGGATATTTGGACATATGATTAAATCGTCTTTCCTCTTACCAGGATAATTATAATGGAAGTCCTGCCCAATTGAATAAACTAATTATAGTGCAGAAAAGATAGGAAAGTACCACTTAAAAAAGTCTGCAAGAATTGAATTTTATTCAAATATGGGATAGGATTTACATATTTATCCCGGGGTATATAGGGGTCATTTTCAATTTTCAGCCAGGTATATAGTAAACTGGTGAGAAAAAAACGAGTTAGTTGTTCTAAATTTATTACAAGCCTAGTGGCGACTACTTGACATTCTAAGTAGGTTCTTTGACAATGGCTGTCATGAAATAAATACACAAATCATATTTAAAACAACTTACAGCAGTCTTCGATGATTTGTAGGAAACACTAATTTTATTTTTATCGTCATCAGAACCTTCACCGCTACTACTGCTACTGTAATCTACTTTTTCTTTTGTGAACTTCGCACTCTGTAAATAAAAACACATTTTATGATATTAAAGGTTTCACATGGGAAATTGAAAAAAATCAGAGTCCAAAGTCAATTACTGAGTCGGGTCTCGCTGGCGTTTAGTTGATAACTCCGAGTCAATTTCATTCAGACGGCTTTTCGTGGCTTATATAAATGGTGATTGTGTCAGGGACTCGAGCCTTCCAACATTGTAAATTATATGGAAGTGATGATGAATGAATGATCATTTTGTTTCATTCAATTATACAGACTCCACCGATACCTGGCGTAACGATTGTGCTTCATCTGTGATAGAATAGCTTCATAAAAACATGACGAAAATTTCTTGTACAGAGATGAATCCTATGACATACTGTGATACAAGAACAATATTTTTACAACACCAAATTTCTGGGCAGTTATAGGTAAGACAGGAAAAGGTGGCAGGGCGATGTCCTATCCTAACCCAACACAGACAGAATCGAATAAAACAACGCAGAAAATGAACGATATTACCGATCTATCTAACTACTCACCGATTGAACCATTGGATTCATCTTTCTCTTCTTCTCTTTCCTCACAACAGTTTCCTGGTCTTCTTCATCACTACTTTTCTTTTCAATTTCATCACCGCTGTCTTTTTTCTTTCTTCTATTCCCACCACAAAACTGCAAAGTGAAAATTTTATAAAGAATTAGGTTTTCGTGTATTACATTTTTTTGAATCAAAACTTAGTAAAACCGTCTAATCTGAGCGTTTTGTACAGTTTATGCTTTTAAGATGACAACACCTATTGCTAATATAACTGATTAAAAATAATAGTTATAACTGTTAGAGAAACACTTCTGAGTCACACAAGTTCTGAGCATAAATGAGTAACCAAATTCAAAAACATTTAAAACACCAAAAACATTTTCTGATTTTAGATGAGTTATTTGAGAACTTGGATAAATGAACATATATTATAATCAAGTGCTGTATGGAAATATGTGCTTCAGGTAATAAAAAAATTTTGGTCAAGAATATGATCAGTATATAGAAAGACTCATCTTGAACCCGGTAGAAAGCGACAAGATTCTCGGATTGAAAACTAGAATTAATCGCAACTAAGGCTTATCCTTGATTGGCAAATTAAAGTAAAATTCGTAAAAAAGAAAAGCTGACCTTTCCGGATTTCTTGAACATGTTTAGTTTTCTTCTTTTACACACTTTCTAAAGTTTTATTGTCTGAAACTTGACCAAAACCATCGAAACCCGCGCTTCGCAACGTTTGATTTACAACTTTCAGAGAAATTACTGCAGAGCTCAAAATTAACAAAATTTGTTTTCACTATTATGATGTCACACTTTACTCAAGTGACCGTGGCACGTGGTACACAGCTGATCTGATTCTGTGTGATCTCACTTCCCCAGCTGAATTACTGGGCGATCTGTAGCCCCCTTGAATAGTTTTGATTTGAAATATTGGTGCAGAGATGGGGAGAACAAATCAACTTCCATATAATTTACCGCAGCTTCAAAATTTAATCAAAAGAGATCCGGTTTCTTATCAAGATGAGGTGAGAGTACTTTAATAAATAAATTATCGTATCTACAAGTAGACCATATGCTTCGCCCGTGAATTTTATTTTATCGTGTTAATGTATGCTGTTTATGAATTTATTCTTTTCAGTATGATTGTGTTGAATCACGACATGTGTTTTTTCACTCATGTGGTTGAATTGGCACAAATGTTACAGCGTTTGCTATAAACATTTCTCTAGGTTTCCCCATTCTTCCGAGCTTCCTGTCGTCATTGTCTGTGTTCTTTATTTTTGTTTATTCATGTTCTGTGATGTAGACGAGAAAATCGAAATGAAATTGTACGGTATCTACAATGTCTATTCCACACATCATGGCATTAATACCTTCTGTATTTATCGCAAAATAATGTATTAATGAGCAGATTTGGGTGGTTCAATGCTGGATAATTTTAAGCTGATCTGATTAAATTTGTTGTGATATAATATCAGGATATACAGATCTAGTCAAATATTTGTATTATATTTATGTTAACAGTTCGAGCAACAGTATCGGAGATATCAATCCAATATGAAATTATTTCTTCTTCAACCAAATGAAGAATCGAAAGATCTATCGGAACTCATAACATTTATCGGCCAGGTCAGCAGGTTGTTTTTAAATGCTTCTGTTTATCTTTTCTGTGTATATTGCATATCGATAAATATTGTATTCACTAGCTTGTTGTAGCGATAATTCGACATAGGCTGTGATGATGTCAAACTAAATATTATCAATACATGATTAAATCCAAATTTTGATTTCAAAATGAACACAGCAATTCCATAACATTCACACATTTAATCAATTTTACTATATCAAGGTCTTGGTGGTTTGCTATTTTTAGAATGCCAATTGGTAGCAGTAACACGGATGTGTTTACCATAATTCACTATTCACTTTCTACCAGTGTTCACTATTAGCGCACTTTTTTGCGAAAATTGCGAAACACTTTCGCAACTTTTTTTAGGGACTGCGAAATAGCACTTTTTTCCGATTTTGAAGAGAAAAAGCACTTTTTTCCGATTTTGAATGGAATAAAAATTCAAAGTTAACAAATATTTTCGAGTATTAAGTTGACAAATAAGTAACATACTAGTACTTTTGTAACTCAATTCTGCATATCATAACGATATTTATCGGAATTCTAACCTATGAGATGCAGACAAAGGAGATAAAGCTTTTGCATTAACGGCAAAATTCTTGTTTATAATATGATTATTATACAAGCACACTGATTCCGCTTCTCCCGCAAAAAACGCTCCCGGGTGTTTGAAACCAGATGTTGGAATACTAGGCAGTGCGTTTCTTTGAAGGTCATGTGACTATCAATGATATCGATGAATTCAAAATGACTATAAAAGTGTTAGTAACGTGTTATAGTCACTTGGGATGAATTGTGACCAAACTGCACGATTTTCAAATCAGACGAAACTTTTAGCAGCATGTCACAGATTTGCAAAATCACCAAATTCACAAAATACCATTCATTAAGTGCCATTTTATTGTAATCACAATGTTGAAAGGACGTGGCATTTTCCGGAATTTTGCGATATTTACACAACTATTCCTCATTGATATGCGAGGACAGGTGGGCAAAATTCAATATTTTTTTGAATCGAATATTTTTAAGGAGTACCGAATAAACGTGGTGGAAACATTAAAAAATCGGCAATAAAGCCTTTTTACTGGTTAATTCCGTTGTAATGGCTAATTGTTCTTGTCACCGATCGTTTTGGCGGCGATATCCAGGTTTTGGGTAATCTATATTCCCGCCCTCTCCTTTTACAAATATGAATTCTTGTGGGTCGGCGGTCATCAAAGTTTTATATTTCGGGTTTACCCGTTCGTTCACATCGGCAACAGCTGTTGAAGACATTGAGGACTCAAATTAACATTTGCGTTGGCTTTAATATTACCTATCAAGATTTGTAAATTTACCGTCCCAATTTTATGGGAATGGTAATATTATTGTCCATACCGTGATGCAGATATTTATTAAGACGATAATTAACTTTGTCATGTATTTCTATGGTGATAAACTTCGCAAACCTGAAATTGTGCCAATCCTGAATGTTGATTTAAAATAGTGATTGAATAATTCGGCAATAAAGGCATTTCTGCGTGGTCATAAGACGAGATGGCGTTAATGAACAGCACTTCTTTTACAGGATATTTTACGTATGCGACTTAATGCTAAAAAGATTGGGCTCGAGTGCTTTTTTTTCGAGTGCTCGAGTGCCTAATAGAGGTCAGGCGCTAATTGTAACTAATTCCCTCAAGTTTCAACGTGTTTTCAACAAAACAATACCCCGGCGATAATTATAGCTAAAATGTTACCGAGCAATTCACAATTTTATTTATGGAATTTGCAAATTCACCAGTTTCTTGACGATTTTGATATTGTCATGCCCTAAGTATTAGTGCAAAAAATACTCCCATTCTTCCGCGGCGGTTTGACGGGTTCTTTGTTCTATTCTTCAGAAAGTTCTGACACGGGGATATAGAATACTGAATCCGGAGGGTTGAATCCCTGTCCACTTACTGGTGATTTTCCGTTTTGAAATGCGTGAAACATTCTTTATTTTAAATTAAATGACGTTTCGCGGGCTAAGAGTTCTCCCCGAAAATGATGTGTTCCAGACGTTAGTTAGACAATAGATAAAACATTAGATTATTAATTTTCGTGACGCCCCGTTTTCGAAAATACAAAGTTATATCGCAAAAAAGCGTTATGATACATTTGGAATGAAACATTATTTACCGTTAATTCAGATCATATTTTTTACTCTTCATGACACCCGGTATCCGAAAATACAGTTGTATCTCGAAAAATGTGTTTTGTTACATTTAAAATAAAACATTTTTGCGATTAATTTAGATCATATTTTACTTTTCAGGACACCCGTTTTCGAAAATACAAGGTTATATCGCAAAATGTGTTTTGTTACATTTAAAATAAAACATTTTTGCGATTAATTTAGATCAAATTTTTCCTTTCACGGCAACCCGTTTCCGAAAATACAAAGTTATATCACAAAAAAATGCGTTTTGTTACATTTATTTTGCATTCCCAATAAAATACATAATTTCCCTAATTAAGGTCGTCGATGAATCTGTTCCTGTCGTTCAAGCTCGACACACGTTTGGACGAGTGTGGGGGCGGTTTTTACGATTTTATTATACGATATATTACGATTAAGATTTTATGATAGAAGTGAATTTGTCTCAAGATGGTATTTTACGATTCCTGCCCACAGAAAATAAACACGCTGACAGGCTTGGTTATAATTGATATTCGTTAAATTTTTTTTTACACTATTAATAAACGCACCACACCAATTGCGACCATATAAATTGCAGTCGCATCGGTATGGACTGTATGTTTTTGGCGCTCTCACGTTAATAATAATTTTCAACAAAACAATACCCCGACGGTCATTAAAGCTGAATTCGTTACCGAATAATTCACAATTTTATTTACGGAATTTGCAATTTCAAGATCTCACTTGACGATTTTGATGATGTCATGCCCTAATTATTTCTGCTTAAATGCCTCAAAATACAACAAATGTAATCATTTTCGACGATAACAGGCGCAACAATTCGTACACGAGCCGTTATAACGAAATTCGCGATTGATTTTACCTCTCTCTTGTTTACAATTTTAACATCCCGCCGGCCATGTATGGTCGAATAAAATGTTCACATATTCGAAACATGACTTGGCCAAGGATGGAAGGGATCACTAAAGAGCTAATAGAAGTATAGTACAATATATAGTACATACGCGAGGGTATGATATTAATATCGAGAATATTTGTGAGCATATCACAGGACTGAAATATTTTGCACCCGGCTGTTTGTTTGTTGGCAGAACAACGATACGCTAAAGTTAATTGATCGAATACAGGGAAGTATTTATTTATCATCTCACTTGCGAACATCGAGGTTTTGGCGGAATTGTACGATCATGTTGTCTTTCTTAAATAATAACTTTTTCAATAAATGTTCATTTTACTTTTGCGTCTTTATTATATGTCGGGTTTTCATTTATTTTAAATTCGAAATTGTCCGAAATACTCCCAACAGGTGTATAAGTACAATAATATTAGTACTTACCAAAGTACTTACCAGGGAAGTTTAATACACACGATGTGTAAAGGGCGTCGTAACTCCCGTTTATTAATTATAAATTATTTTTCATTCTGCTTAAAAATCAACGGCAGCATCTCACGTAACTCTCGCGACCAAATCTCTTTTGTTTTGTATGGCATCGTCTTGGCGATGAATTTATTGCCGACTGAATTTTAATTGTGTTTTAGGATAAGTTATTTTCTGTTTGTTGGTTTCTAAATTTTACAAACTTGGGTAGCAATTACTATTAATGTGAGATTTGTGCATATGAACGATTGAATATCGCGACTGGATGTCCGATATCTGAGAATGCGTAATTCTCTTTCAACATTAATTTTCAGAATATCAGCGTTCATGTGGTCGAATAAAAATTATTTATCAAATGGATTGGTATTTCGAGACACTGTCAAAATTATTTGGGATTCACTATCATATCATTCGTTTATTTTTTTTATTCATGTTTTTCTCAAGAATCACCCTCCTTATATTTAGTGTACCTTCGCAAAAGAAAACTCTTTGGTGTCATCGTTCCTATTAGTGTAATTGAAATATATGGAAACCTCGCAAGTGGCGTTGTGATGCGAATATTTGATACTAGGTCAGCAGCATTACAAAGAGTGCTATTTATGAATGTTGAAAGTACATGACATTACTGAACATTTTGCCAATATATGATGTTTTCTGCTCGATTTAAACTAACTCGCACGCAAACCAAGGCATGTCGACATTTAAAAATTACTTGTCTTTGGGTAAGCTCTGAAATAGTATAATATAAATGTAAATGAGGAATTAGGTCACGCTATCTCACGAAACGGGAGGATTTTCAAAGTGATCTTGTGTAATATTTCGGAGAAAAAAGTTTGAAAGGAAAGTAGGTCAACCTATCTCCTAAAACAGGGGAGTATCCTGGGGTAATATTTCGGAGGGAACGTAGGTTAACCTATCTTTTGAAACAGCGGGTGGCGACTTTCAAAGTGGTTCAAAATCAAAAATTAATAATTATCAGATAAGGTTTAGGGATAAATCGAAAAGTTGAATTTCCAGCGCACCTAACCTTAGTTAGGCTATTTATATTTGGGGGATTATTTTGCACGGGATTTGTACAAACGATCCACCCTGTAACTAATATGGTTTCCAGCCTGCCTCGTGTCTGTTAAATGGAAGGAGTAACAAATGTGAAAGTCTTTGCTGCTTAGGCGAGTAAGCAACTGACACCGTGATACATTGCATGAAAGTTTTGTCCGCGGCAGGTGTTAGCAGATGTTATTTCGTTGCCGATGAATTCGCTTGTTTTAATTAAACATGAATTCGCTTAAAGGGAACTCGGTTAACGAAAAGGCTTCTCTTTAATTCATAATATTAACCGGAGGAGCGCTTTTTCGAGTATCTATGCCGTTTTAAATGGGTTATATGAAAGGCTAGGGCACATAACTTGTGAAAATCGGCAAAAGCACTTTCGCACTTTTTTTTTCGACTGCGAAGCACTTTCGCACTCATAATTTGCTTAGAGTTAACACTGCTTTCTACCAAATATTTTTCAAACGACGAGACAAAACAAGTGATGTCAATTGCCAAATTGGTAAATTATTGGGCCCTACCCCCAAAGTGACGTCTCAGTTTTTGAGGCAAATAGTTGTTATTGAAAAATATCAGATAATTAGAATAAAGTTGAAAATTGTCACGGAGTGACAACACAAAGCAAATTCCCATCAGCCCTGTTTAGCCCAGTGTTGCCCATAGTGCACAGTGCAATATTCATATTAAGCACAGATATCAGAGTTCAAACTTAACACATACTTTGATTGAACAAATACATTCTAAGGCAACATAGATAGCATGAGAGTTTATGTTACAAAACTGAAAAAAATTAGGCAGAAAATCATCAATTATTCCGCTGAAGAAAAAAAAATTATTTTGAGCCGTAAATGTACCTTCTCATGCGATTTTAAAAAATTCAAGATATGTCCTACACTTTCTGCAGTTCAATATTTCAATTAGGCAAGATATAATTTTTGCCAAATTTTCAACTAATTTATGGAATTGCTGAACATTATTTTAACTCAAAATGGAAGTTTTTGGTGTCGGTGTGAATCATATCTATCAATTTTACTGCTATTTATGAAATTTTCAGAATCGATGTGCAGTGACTTTTACTCAAAAGTTTAAAATTTGCTGAAACTTAGACTTGACTTTAGATCAGATGACCTGACGTGAGCTGACTTGATTTGAAACTTGGGGACTAGGGACTTGCACCCAACAGATTTATTTTATCTTAGAAAGAATTGTGACTTGTAATTCTAATTTTTAAATATACATCATCAGTCATCACCATCCTGGAGTTGCTTTTTTGGTAAAGCAGTAGTAATCCAGTATCAATTCTATCATTATCTGGTGTGCTGGCATGTTGGGATTTTTCTTATACTGATGTTAAATTGTTATTTTTTTTATATTTAGGTAGCTCATTGCTATCGAGAGTTGGTAAAAGATTTTCCCAACCAACTACAAGAAATTCTTCAGAAACATGCACTCTCGATAAACCATGAAATGAGACTAGTCAGTATATTTTTTATGTTGATTATCAAAATGTAAAATTAAATACTTTTGCTATTCGATAAAATTAATTATGTTTAAATATTTCAGAATTTCTGCAAAAGTTTGATGCTTCTTCGAAACAAGGATCTTATAACACCACATTCGTTGTTTGAATTGTTTTTTGAGTTATTGAGATGCCCTGACAAACTTCTTCGTAAGGTATACGTGGATTTCATATTACAGTAGTTACTTGGAAATACTTGACAAGGTCCGAATAGCTAAGTTATTTTTAAGTTTTCCTTCATTCTCTTGTACATTCTGTATTATCAGTCACTAGTAGTCAAGGAATTGCTAAAGTTTAAAATATTCTGATTCAGCTTAGCTATACAAACTATTTTCTGTGTTGCAAACGGACATACGGTATATCAAATATGGTTATATGGAGGTACATCCAAAAATTTCATTCATATTTATATTTACAGTCTTCCATTCAATTCTGGATTGGGTTATTATAACTCTTCTCTGAACAAGGCTCTAGATAAGCTACTTTTATGAGAAGATCTAGCTATTACATTCCACAAAGACTGGATTCGGCAATCGGCATACTGAATTTATCATAGAACAGTAGACCTTGGTTGAAGAATTTGTTAATTTACATTAAGTTACTTCTTGTATATTTTATTAATTTCAGACGCTGTATAATTTCATAGTTCAAGATATCAAGAATTTAAATCATAAGCATAAGAATAATAAGTTAAATAAGGTAAGTTGAATTCACTTAAAATTTTATGTCAGTTTGAATGGCGTGTTCAACTACAAACTATAGATCTGACATGGGCAACTCACGGACCTCGGGCCAAATCCGGCCCGTTGGGTAATTCAATCCGGCCCTGCTGATGCTGCCACAACCAAACTAATGAGGAATTTGTTGAGATTGCGATTTGCAATTTGGTTTTGGCACCAGGCTTATTGTCTTCCACCTTTGCTTTTGTACACTGTAAATATTGTTGTAACTTTTCATGTCACACTTGATGGCCTGCCAGTCTAGGTGGGCATCCACACCCTTATCAAAAGCTTTTAGTTCGAATAACTTATATAGCCTACTGTAATTATTCTTATATTATATCTGAATAGGTCTGAGCTCGTGATTTATAATGTCTGTAGCAATTTTTTTCACCCGAAAGAAAAAAAAATGAGTAGAATGACTTGTATATTAACAATTGTTTCTATGTAGAGTTCGAATCCCGCTTCAGTAGACCTCAACCTCTTTTGTTTATGTTTTCCTAGGCGCTACAAAATTTCATGTACACAATGTTATCAGACAGTAATGCAATTGCGGCAAAAATGTCGCTTGATGTTATGACAGAATTATACCACAGACAAATATGGAATGATACAAAAACAGTGAATGTGATTAGCACAGCATGCTTTTCAAAGATTACAAAGGTTTTCTTATTTGATGATATATTAATTTAACATTATTTGGCGGTGTAAAACATAGTTTTGCTATATTCGAATATCGTTTAAAAAATAATGTTTAATCAAACACTTGTTAGTTGGCCCATCAACTTGGCTTTATTGCATTGGCATCATATGCTATAGGTTCCTATTCAGTTTGCAATATTTATCAAAATACCCCCTTTCTCACCCAGAGTATGAAACAAATCAGATTTGTAAAATTTGTGTTTTCTCAAACTTAATTTGGTATAAATATTTCTCATAAAGAAAAGTGTGAAAGTCAAATAAACTTTATATACCTGTATTACGCTATAACAGTTTTTTCCCGTTATATAGGTAGGTGTGTATGAGAAAATTATATTAATTTTTGATCTAAATGTTCCTGCTGTTTTTAATGTACAATCCAGGTTTCATCATGCGCTCTTCGATTTTTTCTTGGGCAAGATGAAATGAAGAGTAGAGTCGAAGATGATTCAGATTCAGATAATGGCGAAGTAACAGCTAGAGATGTTCTTATAAGGTTAGTGGGTTTATAATTGGTTCAAATCTTCTTATCCTAATAGTTAACAAAACTTTCCATCTTCATATCCTAAATTAATAAACAATTTTGATATTGACATGTCTTATTGACAGTCAAGTGTTATAGATATGTTTGATTAACTTTTTGAAGTATAATTACTTCTATACTAGAAAAAAACATCCTAGTGTTATACATTATATCATTCAGGTTTGGTGTAAACAAGAAATCAACAAGAGCTAAAAAGAAAAGAGATAAAGCGTTGAAAACATTAGGTAAACATAAGAAGAAATTGAAAAAACCAGCAACTGATTTTTCTGCCGTTCATCTTCTGCATGATCCTCAAGGTATTTACATTCTTAGTTCAAATTAACTCGAAGATAGAGTAGTAGCTGAAATTGTAGAATAATTATTACTTTATTATCTCTTACACAAAATGGTTTGTATTATACTCAATGTCTTGAATTGAACGTTTACGTTATGCAAATTTTTAGTTTTAAGCTAATTCAAGCTAATATTTTAGTTTTAAGCTAAGTTTCGCTGGCAAGTAGACCGAATGGTCATTTTAATGTTATCCTGTCCATTCTGTGCAAAGGCATGAACATATACAAATATTTCGTGATCTTTCTTGCTTTCATTTTACTGTGCTTTTCCTGATTGACTAATAAAAAACGATTTAAATGATTGAATATCCTGCCTTTTATAGAAGATCTATTGCTTAGTTAACAAGGGTTCTGAATTTTCTTACTTGATGTAGCTATAAAAATATTTATAACGCACATTCTTATATCTGGACTGGACTGATAAATGGAAGAAAGAATGTGGTTTGGCATAGGTTAAACTTTCCTCTCATCCCAAGGACAAATATGGAAATCCTTCTTCTCCTCCATCTATTGGTCACAATCCCCGAAAAATTCTCGTTATCTAATATAAAGGTTAAATATCTTATAACTAACTAAAATCTAATTATTATACAGCTAAACCAAAATTGGCCATACAAATCGTCATTGAAATTAATTTAACTTCTCAACATCTGTTACCGTGTTTCACAGGTTTTTCTGAACGTTTGTACAAAGTCCTGGAAAAGTCTACTGAAAGATTTGAACATAAACTAATGTTGATGACGGTGATCTCTAGAATTATCGGAATTCATGAATTGTTTCTGTTTAATTTTTATCCTTTTCTACAAAGGTTTTTGCAACCACATCAAAGAGGTTAGTCCTTATTTTTTTTCCTTTTTTATCTTATATTAATTTATTTGGGTTCAGATGTCAAAATAATTTTCTTAGAAGTGATTGAGAAATTCATGGGCTTTGTTTTTGGGCCTCTCATTATTTAGCTCTCTATTGTTTCTATTGGGTTAAGTGCCATTGATTGCCAGGTGTTTGAATTCATTAGTTGATGAAGGATTATAAAATTTTGTTTATCGCGGGTATAAGGTAATTTTTTAATTAGTTTTCTGCTTATTTCAGAGGTTACAAAAATGTTGTTATGCGGAGCACAAGCTAGTCACTCCCTTGTTCCACCTGAAATTTTACATCCACTACTCATGACTATTGTTAATAATTTTGTTACTGAACGAAACTCAAGCGAAGTTATTGCTGTTGGGTAAGTATTATTTTTTATATAAATTAAGTATTGTTTGAGATATTTAAAAATTTAGCACAGTGGACATGACCAAATCATTAAATTCCATTTCAAAGTATCGCAAACTTTTTTTTGTATAACAGCAAACCTACTGTTGAAAAAAGCATTTATGTCAATGTAAATAAGCATAAAATACTCGCAATTTTCTGACGATCTTGTATTTAAATTTGTGTATTGATCTTTCAAGATTGAATGCTGTCCGAGAGATATGTTCACGTTGCCCGCTTGCCATGAATGAAAGTTTATTACAAGACCTTGTACAATACAAAACATACAGAAATAAAGCTGTCATGATGGCAGCAAGATCCATTCTACAATTATATAGAACTTTAAATCCAACCATGCTGCATAAGAGGGACCGGGTAAAGTTCTTTGCTTGTTATTTATTTAATTTATGTTTGTGTCAATTATTTAATTTCAATATATTGACTTGTTTCCTGCATGTGTCTGATAGAATAGGAATTATATTTACCCCGGAGGAGAGTAAAGACACTATATATGGAGGAGAGTAAGATTAATTTTATTTTCTAATACACACATATATAGCGTCTAGCAATCCTCTCTTACATATTCATCCCACACAAATCCTGCAAACACAATTGGGTAATCAAAGGTTCCATAGTAGGAGCCAAGCTCTTCCATATATTTCAAGTTACAGTTTATTTTATCTATTATTTTTTTTTTATCTATTATTAATATTACAATTGTAGGGTAGGCCAACTGAAGCCAGTAAAGATAGGCAAGTAGTTGAATATGGACAAGTTATTGCAACAGATTATGTTCCTGGTGCCGAGATTTTACCAGAGGAAGTTGAGAAAGATGAAGAAGATAATGGTTTGTTGTGGTATACATGTTTTGAAACAGACATTAGTCTGCGTCTGACTGTACATTGATGTGAAATGTATAACGCTTGAAAGATGCATGTTTGCTCTGTAATATTATTGTATCATATTACATTGCCAATAATTTCAATTCATTTCAGTTGCTATAGTATATCTAGGCATGTTAGAAATAGAACGAATTAATTCTTTGTCTATTTAAATTAGTAAAAAAAAAATGATTAAGATTTTGAAAATTGGTATGTTAAGTCATTTGGGCCAAATAATTTTTGAAAACGAAACAGCGATATGCCACTTATTTTTTGTATGTACCGGTATATCAAAATAGTAATCGAATCTGTTCCGACATGGGTTACCGTAAATGCTTTTATTTTATTTCAGATGGTTGGGAATCTTGTTCTGATGAAGATAATGACAGCGATGGAAGTTGGCAGGATGTCGTGCATTCTGATGATGAGGTAGGGTAATGTGAAAACTGATATTTAATACCCAAGCTTCCTTACTGCACATTCTTAATTGCTATTCATCTCTTTTTTTTTGATGCAAAGTGGACATATGGATCATTTTACTAAAATGTTATTATTAGGGTGATTGTTGTTGTCGCTTTTCCTCTACTAATGCCCCAATTAATTTCAATTTTCAACTCGAGACAATATTTTCCAAGTTGGTCATCTGGGACTCAATATTTCACCCAAAGTTTCATTTTGGTTCATGGGAACACTTTTTATCACCTATAGTAGAAGTGGCCAACACGTTGATCGCGATCGGCCAGTTGATCACTACACTTCGAGTAGTCGATCGCATCTGATGTTGAGTGAACTTAATAACAAAGCCCAAAAAATTGCTCGAACCAGTTTTATGCAGCGTCTGTTGTATGTTTTAAAGCAGGACGAATGCAGTATCGTACATGCGCAAAATATGATATACAGTGACACATACAGTATTTGGGTCTGGGAAGTCCGATAGAGCATGTTATTTATGTAACAAATGCAAGTTCTGACTTTGCCAAGGTCTAAAATGAACTTGCAGAATATTGTGTGCCTCGACCGACGAATGACCTTCCAAGAGTAGTGTGATAAATTTTATTCACAACGGTAGCAGTGGCATCTGATTGCCCAATTTTTTTTCTAATTTCAAGCGAGCAAAGAATCTGGCTCGAAGGAAATTGTAAATTAGATACTAAAGTTTGAGCAGTAATGTAACATTTATGGTTTGAGAATAATTATTTTCCACTGTCTATATTCCCACAGAGCCAAGCATATTGGCAGCGGTTCAGTTTTTTGTATGCATGTGTGCAGTTATCTACATATTCAGTACTCATTTGTTTTTGTGTACGAACTTATTACCGATCATGAGCTATTTTGAAGATTTTGGCCACCCCTGAACATTAATTTGGTACAGATGCGCAGCCATACTTTTCTTATTAATTTGAGTACTGCTCTCTTGTTTATCATGGCGTGGAAATAACGAGTGTTCACTTTTAACTTTCAGACTGAAATGGAAGAAGTTGCAGATATGCCGAAAGAAGAACAAATAAGCAAAGCACAAGCTGTTAGTCAGATGAGACTTCTCACACAGGAGGATTTCATGAAGATGAAAGCTCATCAAGTTATGAAAGAAATTGAACCTTCCTCTTCAAAGAAAAAAGCAAATAAAAGAAAATTAAACGTCAGCGTAGCAGAGAATGATGAGGAAACAATGGGAGGGTGAGTGCACTATGACTTCATTCTAAATTAATGATATTTCCTGGCACTATAATCCAATTTCATGAAATTTAAAATCCAAAGGCTGTTCATTTAGTTCTGAGGCTTTTATTTATATATCCGCATTTATTTATTCACTTGTAGCATCTTGGCCACGGAATAACAGTATTTAGATATATTAATTGCACTGGTAATATTTTGACGTTGTAAAATTTAATTGATTTCCGAATAACAACTAAATGACTGTAAAGAGGATCAGTGGTGCATTGTGTTGACTAGATCTAGGAATATTACTACTGAAAAACCACATGATGTGGTCTAGCATCTTATTCAATACGGATGTATGTGTGGTAGAATATTAGTGCCACATTGTTGCCATGGTGTTGTTCTCCTGACTGCAAATTAATTTGATTGACTTTGTACATAACAGCAGAGTTTTGACTATGATATAGATTGTTGAAAAGAGCTTTCTCTGGGATTCATTCTCAGCATTGTTTAGTGGTGTGTTTAATCAGGTTACTATTTCAAACAAAGTCATTGTTGGAAAATAAATTTTTCAGAGAGCTTGTTGCACTTGGATCAATTGAAAGAGTCCATGCTAAACGAGCTCACAATAAAGAAAGCAGACTTGCTACTGTATTGCAAGGAAGGGAAGGTCGAGAAAAGTATGGAAGAAGAAAACAAAAGATGGATCCGTATGCTTCAACAACGAATAAGGTTTGTTGAAATTTTCATTGTATATTCTGAGAGGGATAGAGAAACAATGACTCAAGCTTATAGATAAGGGTTAATGGGAGATACTGTGTGTGAGGTTGGGTGAAATATGTTATGTCAAATGAGCTGGCTGAACTAATAATAGACTTGAACAAGTGGCTGGGGTTCACCCATATGATCAAAACCCTGGCTATTCACCTGGGGTAAATATGAAATGAGTTTTAAAATGATAAACAAATTGGACTCTGTAAGCTACTCATTCTTCAATATACTGTCACACAGTTGTGCTGCCTATTTTAGCATACATAAATCGCATCAACTGTTATGATTAGAGGTGAAAACTGTGTATACCGTAAATGCTCGTTTTAACGCCCGGTCTTGATTAAGGGCCCATTTGAATAGCCGCCCGTGTGAACAGGACATAAAAATGAATAAGGGCCGGTGCTTGAATACCCGCCCGGTGTAAAAGTTTTTTTTTTGCGGATTTGTACCTGCAGTGCGTAGAAAAGTCAAAATTTTCATTATTCTCGTTTAAATCATGCTTGAGAACTGAAAATGACAATATACGGTATTAATTATTGTAACGGTCGATCTTATCTATCGGTATTTTTGTGTGTAATTTTACTTGAAAAATAACAAGCGCACCTGCTTGAATAAGGGCCCGTTCAGTGAGTATGTTTAAAAAAATAAGCGCCTGGGCTATTAAACGAGCAAATATGGTATGTTTTTTATAATACTGGTTGAATTCATTCCAGTTCAGCTGATATTTCGCTGTTAAATTTGAACTGAATGTTAAATACTGACTTTCTTTTGAAAACAATTCAGCAAAAAAGAAAAAATAAGCCATATATGATGGTTCGGAACAAAGTGAAAAAGAAGGCATCGGGGCGATCATTCAGAGAAAAGCAGATTGCTTTACGGAATTCATTGTTGAAAAGGGCCAAACGAGTTAAATGAATATGTAGATTATAAAAAAAATAAATAAAAATTCTTGTGTTTATTGTTAGTGTTTATAGTATTTGAGCAGCGGAACAATTTGCTGCAGTCGGGTTGGTAGTTTGGTTACTGACCATCAGGCCTGCAATTTTCACCAGCAATTGTTGTTGATTTGAGCCATCTGTGGAATTATGCCATTGTTGGAATATTACATTGTTTTTTGTCATCTCTGTGCAACAAGTGAGCAGTTGACTGGAGGCTGTCCACAAATAAATATCAAAATCGCACCCTTTGCTCTTGGAGTTGACTGAGGCTACATTGTTAATTACAGATTTTGTTTTAAGGTTTACCCACTGTAATTTCAGATCTGTTCGCTGATTACTCTCATAGCTTTTCTAATTTGGACTGTTAACGAAATGACTAAAGAGTGATTTCAAATGCCAACATCATAAATGTGATAAGTGAGACTGTGCTTATATCCATTCCCTGCCACTCTAACAGAATATTTGCAAATCAGTTGCAGCATGTGTCTGCACTGATTCTAACAAAAAAAGGGACACATAACACCATAAAAACCATTTAATTAAACTACAGTGTAAGAGAAAATACATTGAACTACAGTGGCTAATGTGTAATAACATGGGCAATGACTATACTAAATATATTAGCACCATACAAAACAAATTATATATACATATCCCAGTCAGAAATAAATTTATGCCAAGAAATGGCAATGTCACTTTACACCGTTGGCACATGCTCGGTTTTATTCTGATTAGGATAATTGCACAAGGCAGAAGAACTAAATATATGATATTTGTTGTTGGATAAAACGATTATAAAATATAATATTTATGAATACAAAAAAATTACTTTGGTTTATAAAGATAACAATTCAATTATAAAATTATTCCTGGACTTTTCGTCTACTGTTTTAAATATAAAAATTGTGAAATATTGCAGAATCTGATAAAATATGTCACATTCCATTAATCTTGAAAACTAGATTGGCTGAAAACATCATCACTGACTAAGTTATACTGAAGGAGAGGCACTTTGCTGCAAAATTGGTTTTGGTGCCAGCTATACCAGTGTTGTCTATCATGGAATCATAGAATGAAATCTGTTCCGCAGAAAGATTTAATAATTGGGTTGCAACTAAAATTGTACTAAGTACTATGGTAAGACTTTCTTCGCTTTAAATGTACTTGAGAATATTTTGATGTGATACACTTGCACAAAATATTATGTCTCCTTGTGAAATGATCTTCACAGTTCTTGGCAAGGTAGAATTAGATGGCTGAAGAAAGTTTGGTGAAATTTCCACCATTGATGTTCATATTATTTGATAATTTTTGTTCAGACCAGAGGGCATTGATATATACAATTGTCTTTTTTATTCCATTTATCAGTGATAACAAAATGCTTCTGGTTTTGTTCTGATAAAATCTTCAATGACCTACTGAGGCAATGTTAGGTCTTCATTCCTGTAGTAATATGGGAATGCTAAAAGTCGAATGCCGAGTCTGAGTTGTTCTCATCAAATCCTGAATCTGATTTGAATCGTGTAATATCATTATTTTGTTCTGAACATGGTTTGATTCGACATTGCAAAGATGATTGAGAAGCAAAATTGCTTTCAGGTATTCTTTGCGAACTTCCACTGTACTGAGGCATTGATTTACTCACATATGAGTAGGATGGTTCTCCTTTAGTAGAAGAATAACCATATTTATCTGGTGTGAATGTCGATGATTTCATAGTGGTTGCATTTCCCTGTGGAACTGTTGCTCCAAATCCTTTATGTCTTGAATAAACAGAGTTATGGGATATATAGGAATCAGTATTAGGTTTTGCAGTTTCTATAGAAACATTTTTTCTAATGCTCCACGCGTTGTCCAATCCAATGTTTGAAGGTGCATTGTTTTGAAACTGATCTCTCGCAAATTCTGTGGACCACTGCTCCGGTAATGATGTCTTTTTCTTGGGCGATTTATACTGAAAACGTTTAACTGAGGTCGTTTTATCTTTTATTTCGTTTCCACTTTTCATTTAAACTGCTCAATAATATAACTTACCTAAAAATCGGCAAACATGGCCTATATCTGAACCCAAATAACATCAAAATCGGAACTTAATCTGAAAATGGTAAGAATTTGTTGTTTACCTGTTACCAAAGTTTTAACCCTCCAGCGACACCAAGGGTTGCCTATCAGTCACAAAGCGTGACCGGTGAACATATATAATATGTATCGAAATGTGTTTAAAATACCGACTAAGTATCGAATAAAACTTCCACAAATTTAAACAAAAGAGAAATGCTCAAACGATGGTAGCTGGCAAAGCCGAGCACCAGGTTCGGAAACAAGACGAATGACAAACGTGGTGGAGTCGGTCACACTTGACTGAATAAAATAAGTGTTCACATGAATTAAAATAATACATAGAAACTTTCTGTAAAAAATCGAATCTTATGGCACTGAAAGTAAGTTGAAAATGAAAAATAAAAGCGATTGAACTGAAAATCCGAAAATTTTGAAATTGATTGGCCCGATATTTATGCCGAAAAGCTAATTTTCAAAGCCGCCCTAACAATTCAATAATTTATTAAAACGATCTTTATGGTCATTTCGTGTCCAATATACAGGAATAAAGTATTCATATCTATTTCGGGAATTAAACTAATCTTGTTTTCAACACGACTGCTATTGCCATCAACATCTAGGGCATTACACGACCAGTTGTTTCCAGAAAGGCTATTTATTGTATATATCACAGCCAATAATCTAAAATAAGCAATTTGAGGTTCTGAAAGAAGAGGTTAACAATTGGCTCTTATCTTTTACATCCATTTAAAACTTCGTATTTATTTTTTAATATAATGTATCTGTGTGAGGAGTTCAGTATGATATTTCATTCCACCGTGGTAGTAGCATAAGCCCATGTTACATTGAGCTGATATTGAAGTTTAGGATAGGATTTACATATTTATCCCGGGGGAGGGGAAAGCCGATAAGACGGCTTATCCATATGGCGAACCACGGCCTCTCGTCCGGTTACCATTCCAAGTCGGGTATGGGATTAGTTTTTACTGTATTGTTTGTTTTCGGAAGCATGGACTTGGTGGTGGAGGAAGCCGTAACCGACCAGCGGTTACGTGAACCACCCAACGACGGCGAGGAGTCCAGCAATCCTCTCGCACATAACCATCCCTGCATGGGATTCGAACCTGCGAACCCATGCAGAGTGACTAGAGGTGCGGTGGCGAGCGTATTCCTAACGCTTAGCCCGTTGAGCCACACCGCCGCGCGGTGAATTCAAAATTTCGTGGACCTCATACGCCAATTTAATTCCGTTAGCACAAGGTTAAAAAAAGGCTGCCTTCAACTTCAAATTATGGCGCGCTTTTTGCGTGCGCGTCATCAGCATCGTCTTAACTAAGGCAGTTTTTTTCGATATGTGTGACTTTTACAGCAAATTTAACTGATAAAGTGCCTCGGCTTGTGCGTGCCGTTACGGATCATATATGTACTTCTTAAAATAATAATAAAACATACCGGTATGTATTATACTAATACTGGAGCATTGTACCAGATTTAATCGTCACCATCTCACAACATATATATTTAACAAACTTGAAATTCAGAAGATAGCCTTACAATATTCATTTTTTAAGGTGACCGTACATTTGAACCCATGTGTATATCCGCGGGTTCAATCTATATGCGGGTGCTAAAACCCATGAGTTAGGGTTAGTATGGGTTCAAATATCCGTAAAACAAAAAAAATCCATAGGCGCAATAGTATGTAGGTGCAATTGACGTGGGTTCAAATGTACGTGGGTTCAAATGTAATGGAACCATTTTTTAATATTTGACTATAGGTCAGATATAGGTTTTATAGGTCGAAAAATTACAAATAGAGTTGTGTTCATTCAACAATGATTACCAACTTAAATCAGTGGTGTTCCACTGATCACTTAAATCTGAATTGTGTGTTTTATACTCGTCGATGCTACAAGCAGGGTAACTCGTAGCATCAAATTTTTATTTTTCCCGACTGAGGATGGTTTCTGACATACGAAGACATAGATACGGATTAAATTTTGTACACGTTAAGAACCATATTGATTCAAATGAAAACAGGTATCACTGCATATCTAGCAAACTGCCAAACGATTGCCAATGTCTAATTGGCTACGTAGTTTCTCAACCCAAAAACTTTCCCGCTTTTTTTATTTAGTTTGTAGACACGCCCATAACTTCTATAATCTAGATTCTAGATCAACAGCATAGCCTAGGGCCCATCTTGCGCATTCCTTAAAAACTTTGTTATAGAATGACATAAAACTCAACTAAACGGCAAAGTCGAGTCGTGAATTTAGTTGTGTCACGAGTAAAGTAATCGAGCACTGAATCTGACAGTAAATAAAAAGTATGACCGATAGTGCAGTGCTTAGACAAAACACAAGGGGATGATGAAGGTATGGGATTTTGTATAAAAATCGATACCAACTATCCAATAAAATGACTAATTATTGTATAATAAGGTACCAAAGACGAAAGAACGTTTAATAAGGGTGAGTTTGCGAGTTTTCGTTGTATCCAATGATAGATATATTCCACTTCATCACGAGCATAACCGGAAGTTATGATATCTTATTTTTATCATCGTTAGTGTTTGGCAAAATTAAATTTTCCAAGGATACTTCTGTCATGTACCGATACCAACATATGATTAACTCCAATGTAGTTAATATGACACCCATCATGTCAAGGATGCAATATGGTCGAAAGGCCATCATCTTCCGACTTGGTCATACACTATTAAAAAAATCGAAAAATTTAAAAGTTATATTGCATACCTTGATTTTTTTTCATCATTTGATATCGTAATTGCATATGTAAAGCTATCCACAAATTTCATATGGTCATGGCTAGCACTACTAGAGACTGATTTATTGGTAATTCGTCTTTTATATCTGAACTCTGTTGTTATACTTGACTGTGTATGTCTGTGAAATCACGGTAAACTAAATCCACATTGTCAACAGTGCTACCCGCTGGTATATTAAGTAGGGTATGAATGAATGACTTTACTATGAGAAAAGAACGCGTCTTACTTGTAGGCACATGTACAAAAGGCGACGATACCGAATACAATGAATTCTACAAGTGGTGAGTTGTAAAACTTTTACTTACGGTAGTTAGAATAATTCTGGTATATCTATAAAGATGCATGCGCGCTTAACAAAGAATTGTTTTGTAGATTGTCATACTAACAAGTTATGAAAATGTGCGAAATGTTTCAAATTGGGTGAAATACAGAAAATTAACAACTCTCGAAATGGCAAGTTTGCCATACAAAACTGACCTTCACACCGTTTTAAAGATATCGACGAAAAGTTTATTTCACGTGGTGTCGTGTATAGTAGTACTATAACTATGCACGTCAAAAAAAAAATTCCATTACAATACTGTTGACTTTTAAGCACTTTGGTGAATCGTAAATAGTAGGACAGGATGCGAATTTCATATTTGACAGGAGAAGAGGAAAGTCGATCGACCAAGGTAGAGATTTCGATGCAATACGCTGTAAGGAAAGATGTGATCTCGATTCAACTTGGCAAATCATTGACTACAGCGCTAATTGGTATATGTTTTATTGCCATAACATAACAGAGTCACTCACTATGTGGTCAGAAGTCGTGTTGCAATATTGGCGGTTCCAAATCCCGCGGTGGTGGAAACACCATGTCACAACTCACGAGTCACGATCAAACAATATTCTATCTTGTCGTGTTGGTCTAATTTTACTAGCAAACATTACTATGGAGTGCATAAAACGGTACCTCCCCGTTGTGTTTTGAAAAGTCTTACGCATTTCTATTCAAGAACCGCGTGATGGGTTAGCATATCTTTGCACCAGTTTATTTGACAATCTCGGCATTTTTTCCACAAAAGTTGTTGACGGATGTTAACATCCTGGAATTGTAAACCTTGTTTAGACAAATGATATGGATTGGTGAAAATTGAAAAACAAAATGACGATGAAGTGTAAATTAAACGACGCATTCGCTTTCATTAGAAAATGCTCTTTTGGGCCCCGATGCCCAATCTTCGATACCCCGATTTTCAATGATTCTTACATTAACGTACGTTGTCAATCTGTCACCCGCAACATATTTATGAAGGTGAACACTGAGAGCTATATATTTTATTAAAGGACAGGCAGCTCCAGCGTGTCATAACTCGTAATAAATTAGTTAACCATGAAACTACCGTTTGCAATCACGCTGCGACAATGATGATTCAATTTTCAATACGAAAATGAATAACTTCATGATATATATGTTACATGAGTTGAGTAAAGAAAATGTCCGTTGTAGTAAAAACATAAAAGAAGCCAAATTTTCACGCTAACAACAGTGAAGCAAACTGCATGGAAAAGGAAAGCTATAAATATTTTAGGACACGAATACTTTCTGAGTGACTGCTTTTATCAAAAATTAAAAAGATTTCGCAATTTTTTACACAAGTAGATAAAATATCATACCTCCGTACTCTCTAGGCCTATATATATCTAATCGTGGTATTACCATTTGTTTTAGGGAAATGATAGCTCTAAAATATGCGTTGAATATATATTTCATATATATTAGGTAAATATTTACGTTCTTTATTCTTCCGAAATAAGTCGATACGACAATGCTGAACGAAGTATTTTCATATTTGGTAAGTGTTAGGTTTGAAATATACTTAAAATCGGTGAGATATTCGATATTTTGCCCTGACTTACGTAGTGTGTACAATTGTATTGAGTTTCAGACTGTCTTGTCCTCCTGGTTCCTTATCCGAAAACGACTAAATATGACAACCATCTTTTGTTAAGAAATACGTTATTCAAATGATTGTCAGACAACGATAGCACACAAATTCTGAAGCACAGTAAGATATGATAATATCGATAGATTTTGAATGTCGCAAGAATTGAAAGTTTGCGGTTTACTGATCTATTATTCGCTTTTCTGGGTCTCACAAGATTAGATTTGAAGATTTAAAACCGTGTCATATAAGTGGTTTCCGTAGTGGACTGTAATTTTCCGTTTCAGCTCCGTAAGTTTTGCTCGTAGCCCGCGGCTGATATTTTGGAGTGGTATCGTACTGTGTAACCAATGAGAACATGTTAAAACTTAGAAATTGCCGGGCGTGAATTCTTTTTCAGTATTTTTTATTCAAACTAGTAAAATATTACATAAACGGTATCTTCATATGGAAAGTTCTGATCCAAATA